TCTGACGCCCTTCTTTTCCTGAAGTTAATGGTGAGGCGGTGATGTTCATTTGCATGTCATCAGTCACTAATGTCTTATTCTCAAGGTAGAGTCTTAAGCCGTGCGGCCATCACAGCGTGCAGTTTCCTGTCTCCTTCTCATACTCCTGTATCGATCTTAGAAAAAGGACAAATGACTTCGACCAATGCTTATTGGGTTCTGTATCCGACGGTTTACCGGCTGAGGAACCCAAGTCTAATATATCCTATTCGTGTGTGAAGTAAAACGAAGGACTAATATTACTATACTCAAAATTCGCGTATATTTAAAGCATTCATTTTCAGCGGCCACTGTTGTAGAATTGCGTTGATAGCGTGCTGTATATTTGTGCAGTGATCGAGATCTTTCAATCAATCAAATTTATTTGCTTGGCAACCCGCGCGAAAAGAATGGTTTCATCACAGGTTAAAAACGGAGACTAAATGATTGCAGAGGATGATGAGTAAAGTCGACAAGCAAGACAAAACTACTTCGACGTTTTATGCCCCATGAATAGGCTATTTTTCTTCCGACGGTTGGACTGCAATGTCATAGCAATGTCAAGTGTTCCATATGCCTGAGTCATGTGACCTTCGATCTTTCCGTTGACTCTCTGACCTGCTGTCCGCAGAAAATACCCTTTTGGGTTCACTCGACTTTTTGTCACATGCCCAGACCATCATAAGCAAGCGCGTCGCAGTCTGCCGCATTCTGAAACCAAGTTTTATCACACCATCAAAGTTTTGAAAGAATTTTATTTGAGCAGTCGGCATTGCATTTTTTCGGCCCATATTTAGCACTCGTGACCGTTGGTGAGTTTAGGAACCAAATGTGTCCGAAAACCCGATGAATTCGCACTATCATCCAAATCCGTCTTGAGCAAAACAAGCCGGCTTAACTCTCTTGTTTGATCGATTCATCACCTTGTTTCAAGTCCACGGTGACATGAAATCGTTATTTTATTGTTCACCACAGTCATTCGACAGTATGCGTAAGAACGTTACCAGTCCTTGATTTAGTTCTTGTTACACCGTTCTGCAGCTGGTCACGCATAAAACCGTTTTTCAGATAAAGCTTGATGTTTTTAATTCGGACTAATAGTTATAGGGACAGCTGCTTGAATGATTGATGATTCAAAATTGTTTTTTACTATTACTTGTTTTCTGGAGAATGATGAGTCAGAAATTTAGTTCAATAAACTTGTGTTTTATAGCATTATGAATCTTGTCGTTCGTTTTAGCGATGTTGACTGGTTTATTGGATTGTAGCCTCGGCGTGGAACCGGTTGACAAAGATGTCCTGAAGCAGCCGCCTAGAAATACGCGGGAACCGATGATCACGGTTGGTCTGATTCTGCAGATTCTCTTGTCAGCGGCGGTCATCATAGCAGGAACGATGTGGGTGTTCATTCGTGAGGTAATTATTTTGCTTCATTTCATGTCTGGAAGTTGGTTGTTTGTAATGTTTCTTTCGACAGATGAGTGACAACCTCGTGACCCCGAGGGATACGACTATGACGTTCACGTGTTTTGTGTTCTTCGACATGTGGAATGCGCTCAGTTGCCGGTCTCAGAAGAAGTCCGCGTTTCAGATTGGCCTGCTGCAAAACAAAATGTTCTGTTTAGCTGTTTGCGGTTCCGTCATTGGCCAGTTTCTTGTTATTTATTTTCCTCCGCTGCAAGCAGTATTTCAGACGGAAGCCTTGACTTTGCGAGGTAATAACTCGTTGACTCGCTTGATGAGTTTTTGCTTCATCGATGATTCTTTGGTTCCATTTTAGACTTGGTGTTCCTTACTACGCTCACGTCATCTGTTTTCATTGTTTCCGAAGTTCGAAAATTCGTCGAGCGCTACGTCGAGCGAGTGTATCAACAGAAAGAAACTTGCAGCTCCCTAATACATAAAGCAATTTCTTCAATTTTCTAGCTGTTTCTACCTGTTTTATTCATTTTGATTGTTTTATATATTGTTCTGTCATGTTATACCGTTACGAATGTTTCTGTCTCAAAGGTGAGTTGTTTGGCTTGTGATGTTGTTAAATTAACGCTAACGAATAAACTAACCGACTGAGCTTCTGCTTGCCGATGAGTTGATATGAGTCCTATTCGCCTTGCAATAGTTGGTCGTATTCTTACCCTGTGTATTGCGCACTTGGCTTACGAAAGCGCAAACTGAAAAGAAAATTAAAACGTTCATTACACAGTGTGGCTATCGTTTTGTTCGAGCAACGGCCGACCTTTTAAGGGCACGTCGATGTCACTGTGACAGACGTGTGGAAAATATTGTTCGAAAGCTTAACATAGTGAGAGAGAGAGAGAGGCGGTAGCTACAAAACTGCGCTGGTGCATTTGCG